ACAAAACAAACAGACCTGGGTGGATGCATTGCACTAAATACTGACAGACAGAACATTTTGATTACTCATAATTACTCACCTCCTGGCCTTACAATCTAGCATGCCCATCAAACGCACATACACATGGACAATCTCTTCAGCAACAGTCTTTGCCCAGTAAAGTTACATGGCCACAAAACACAGACCACCACCATCTCAGAAGAAGCCAAACTGTCAGTGGCCCAAAAAGCAATTAATTCACAGAGGGTGTTAGCAAGTTGTAACATGTCACCAACAATGGCATTTATGGAGGACGTGCGTGGTTGGAAAGGAGGCAAAGAGACCATGTCTGTCTGTCTGTCTGTCTGTTCTGTCTGTCTGTCTGTCTGTCTCTCTCTCTCTCTCTCTCTCTCACTCACACACACATAGTAAATTTCAGATAGGCATAAATAAGACTACAGAGAGTGGGAAGGCATGGAAGGGTTACAAGCTACACAGGTAAAGAAAACATCCATACCAACGAGATCACAGAGTTAACCATCTTAAAAAAACGAGTCTAACACACAGCGTATTAATCAAGCATTGAGAACATTTTAAATGTGGGTCCCTATAACTTTATAGGGGGTGGGACATGGTGTCAAGCAAAGGGGGAAAATGCCCATGGGGCAAGATAAACCAACAGGGCACAAGGAGACAATAGGATGGACGTACAGTGTCAGACCAGCCGAGAAGCACTGAGTGCCACACTCGGCCCAGACACCTGGTGCCAATACAGTAGATGGCCCTGTCCTCCAGAGTCTCAGCTCACCATACAGGCACTGACACTTGAACACCAGACTGGGAAAAGTCCTCTGTACATGCAACTTCTCTTCACCCAGATGACAGCTATCCAACTGTCCTGAGCTAACTAAGCCACGTGGCTACCTACGCAAGGTAGGGAACCAGGCCCAGTGATATTTCATTCCTGTACCCAGACCACAACGTTTCTTACTCAGTGTTCCACGGCTCTTAGCTTGTAATTCTACTAATTCCCTTCTCTTTTAGAACATTTCCCCATCCACTCTCTTTTCTTGTCCATCATCTCAGGAAATCTCTCTCCTTTCCCTTTTCATTCCACTTGTGAACTAAGATGCTAATGATCACGGCTCATAGGTTATAAAACAGTGATGGTAAAATATTTGGTAAAACATACAGCAAATGTAAGAAAATAAAATTGTAAATTCTGAGGGGAAATCAGACAACACAAAGGATTAGTGCCATCAATTTCTAAGCAAAATTTCTTAACTGTGTGTGTGTGTGTGTGTGGTGTGTGTGTGTGTGTGTGTGTGTGTGTCCTGACCCCTCTGGAAGTCTGGTGAAGCATTTATAAAGCCCCTTCTCAGAATGTTTCTAAATGCTTAAAAATAAAATACATAGAATTACAACAAAAAATAATAATTATACTGAAATACAGTTTCAAAACTAAAAAAATAAAAACAAAAAATTAATTTCGCAGACTTTAGATTAACAACTCTTGTTCAAAGCATTTACAGAGCTCTTTCAGTTCTGTTTGATTCTCGAAACAGCCGTGAGAGGTAGGTGATATTATCATCCTCATTTTACAAATGAAGAAACTAAGGCAGAGGGAGGCTGACTGCCCAGTCACACAGCTGGGAAGTGTCCAAGACTTCACTGGAACCCAAGCCTTCCTGCCTCCAGGATCAGCATTCTGCACACGGCACTACCTGCCTGCCTACTATTTACTGTATTTACTGAAACAGTTACCAAAACTTAAAAAACAAAACCAAACCCAGGTCAACAACCCCTGATGAAAGCTTATAAAAGCACTCTGAAGCTCTCCCTCACGGAGTCTCCCTTCAGTTTCCATCTCCCTCTCTACCATCCTCCTATGGGGCATCATTGTTTTCACTGCCACAATTCTGTTTTATCCACTGACTAATGTTGCAGCACAAACGTCCTTGGTTATTCACATTGCAGATATACATGATTTCAGCTACATTTGGCACTTAACTTACATACATATACATACAATATAAATACTACGTATTATATATGTATGTATACATATTCATCAAGAACTTAGCTTACATATGTATATATACATATTTGAATGCACACTCATATATACATATACGGATTTGACCTATTACTCTTAGAGACCCGCCCGGGGCATTAAAAGGTTAAATGACATCACCTAGGTCACATGGACAATATAGGTCAGAAGCAAGACTTGAACACAGGTTTTCACGACTCCATGGCCAGCTCTCTGTCCACTGTCCAACACTGCCTCTCAAGTTCTTATTAATATTAATGAAATGTCATCCAATGAGACCAAGTTTTAAAATGAAACCTTCAGATGAGCCAGTTTTCTAAATGTCTACCCTTGCACTTAAATATGCCCAGAGACCACAGCTAAGTCACAAAAAGAGCAAAGTTACTGAAAGATGGGGATCCAGCGCAGCCCCAGGTCTACCATCACACAGCTCTGGGACCTGGGCTAGTCACAACTGAGGACACTGAGCAACGGTCAGCCATCTAGAAGGGCCCTTGTGGACTCCAACACACAGATCTAAATCCCTGGTAAACAAAAGCAAGGCACCATCGAGCAGTTTGCATATGCTGCCTGCCTTTGCAGGTCACTCCTGGCTCACTAGGTAAGTTGTGTTTCTGACATTAAAGGCAGGAGGAGAAGCTAATGCTACAAATCCCCCTGGGGGCTCTCCTTGTGGCTTGAGAACACCCGTAAGGCCTCCGATGGTACCCATCACCTCTGAGTTAGATTAATGACCTTTCTTAGCAAGGGAGTCACCATTCAGCAAATATAGGAGCTCCAAATAAAGGACACTTGGGATCCTTAATGCCCCTGCCCCACTACCTGTGTGGAACGCACCCCCTCTTTACCTCTGCCTCTTGGAATCCCTTTCTCTATCCAATGCTCCACTCCAGCACTCAGACAAACAGGCCTTTCCTGATCCCACTTGTTAGCACTTTCACCCCCATGGAAATTCCTTTCCTTATATATGTTGTGTTATCTCTGTACATGCTGTTCTCCAGCCCATGCATGTATGCTTCTCGAATCCATGCAGAAACTGTTTGGGGATTCGGTCTTCAGATCTCAGAGCTTAGGATGGTGCCTTGTACACAGTAAGTGCTTAATAAATCTTTGTCAAGGAGCAAGCTCACCAGTTCTCTCATCCTGCAGATGAAGATTGGATTGGAGAGTTTAAAAGGCTTGCCAAAGGACACAGTGAAAGAAAAGACAGAACTATAGAACTGAACAACCAGGGGCAGCTAGGGGGTGCAGTGGCTAGAGAACCAGTCCTGGAGTCAGGAGGACCTGAGTTCAAATCCGGCCTCAGACACATGATACCTACTGGCCGTGTGACCCTAGGCAAGTCACTTAACCCTAATCACCTCATCAAAAAGCAAAAGGAAAAAAAAAACTGAACCACCACCACATAATCCAGGTCTGGCCTTTTCCTTCCAGTGACCACCCCACCCACGCAAGGGCCCACACACCAGCGGTCTCTGTGAGTTCAAGCCTGTACCTGTGTGGCAGATGATGGGAAGGGGGTGTGACAACAACTGACATTTATGGAGAACAGCCCTCCTCATCCCACTCATCCCTCCTCCTCCTTAGTCATGCATATTTACTCCAAACTAGATATGCTGTATAGACACTACTTCTGTACAGACGGGCAGCTGTGGATCAAGAGCCAGCCTCTGAACACAGAAAGACCTGGGTTCAAGTTCTACCTCCCACACCACTGACGGCCCCCCTGGGCAAGTCACTTGTCCTCTCCAGGCTCCAGGCCATTCTGAGATGATAAATTACAGAGAAGGTGCTGCCCGGCACTGGTACAAGGACTTTTCCTCACCAGGGAGGTCCTTGCATTGGTGAAATCATAGGTCTTTTCCCTATCCCTTATACATGTACATGCTGTTTGCCCCACAGAATGTAAGCTGCTTGAGGGCAGGGACCAACGGAGCATTTTCTTTTGCGAGGTTCTATCCTCAGCATGGTATCCTTCCATGCTTAGCTAGAGCAGGCTTTGAATAAAGGCCTGTTGATCATTTCACTTGAACCTCAAAAGGTTCTACCTACAAAACGGTGGGGGGGTGGAGCAGATCTATTATTTCCTCCCTGAAAGAACGACAATGGAACAGAGCAATGAGTAACATGCTGCCCTGGGGAGTCCGCAAGATCCAGTTCAAAGTCAGCCTTCAACATTTACCAATACTCTGGCCCAGGACGTGTCATGTAACCTCTCAGCCTCAGTTTCCTCACTGGGAAAATGGGGATAACAACACCCCCTACGTTACAGAGTTGCTCTGAAGATTAAAAGAAATGGTATTTGCAAAGCACCCTGAAAACCTGAAACACTACATAAATATTAGTTACAATTATTATTATTAGGTATGTCCTGGAGAGGGCAACTTCCTGCACAGATGCATCTAAAAGTCTAAACAGAGGTGCCAGGAGGCACCCTAGAGGTTAAGGTGTCGTGCCCACACCAGCCAGTATGAGTCAAAGCTCGGTAGGACTTGAATCCAGGTCTTCCTGATTTCCAAGCCTACTGCTGCTCTCTATTACACTACAAGTGTCTGCTCATCATTAACAGAGGTATTATCGTACCCAGTTGACAGATGGAAAAACTGAGGCCCCTAGCCAAGACCTGCCCAGAATCAAAAAGGCCGTCAACGTCAGGGGGAGGATTTGAACCCAAGTCTCGGCTGACTCTAGGTCCAGGGCTCCAGAAGGGAAGGGAGGCGAGGAGGAGCCTGCGCAGTAACGGGGGGGGGGTCCGGTCGGGCCGTGCGCATGCGTGACGGGAGGCGCCAAGCCCCCGTGCCCAGGTCGGCTCCTTCCTTTCACTCCTGGCACTGAGCAGGCCCGGAGCTCGCAGGGGACTCCGCGGGGAGCATGGAGGCGGCGGCGCTCTGGATGACTGGGGGCCGGGGGCGCTGAGCTGATGGCCCTGAGCTTTGCCCCCGCCGCCCGGTTCTATTCCCGCTCCTACCTGCTTGGTTCCGCTCCATCTCCGGCTGCGGCGACGGCGATGACGTCTCCATAGCGCGAGGAGGGGGCGGGGCCTCGGAGCGGGGGCGGGGCGAAGGCCATGATCCCGTGGCTTTCCCAGCCTGGGGATAGGAGCAGTAGCGTCCTTGCTTAGCTCCGCCCCCTTCTGACCTTTCCTTCTCTTCCCTGGTGCCTACTTCCGCAGGCTTCTGGGACTTGCGCGTGCGCCGACGGTTTCCTGCTGCCTCTTCCCTCGTGCGCGCCCTGGCTTTCCAGAGAGCCACTGGAAAGAGGAGGCTGCGGGAAAGCAAGGCCCTGCGCATGCGCAATGGGGTGTGCCTCACGTGCGGTGGAGCGGCCCACCTGTTGAGGGGAAGAACCCTCACCTTGGCGGGCAAAGGACGTGAGGTCGAGACCCTTTAGGCCTTGAGCAGGACGACTTACCTCTCCCCCACCCCCCCAGCCTTTTAATCTGTGATGGAGAATTGGACTATACCTGTGTAACAGCACTGTGCCCGCCATAGAATATAAGCTCCTCGAGGGCAGGGACTGGTTGGTTTTTGTGTTTGTGCCCGTGCCTTAAAAAGTGCTTGGTGGTGCAGAGCTTGACTACCGTTACCTCCGGATCCCACCTACCTCAGATCCGTAAATCGATTAAGCCCCTTGGCAGGGGGGTTGGGCCCGTGGATGGGCCGCCCCCGGGGCCTCCCCGCTGGTCTCAGATGGCCTTGCAGGCCTCTCTCCTATCCACCTCCCAGGCAGCTCGGGTGAGCCCAGAGCTGCTGCAGTTTCTGTTGTTTTTTGTCCAGATGACAGCTGCCTCAACTTTGAGTGCTAATGACACCCCCTGCCAGTGTGGAAGGCCCCCACACCACCCACCACGTGCTGTCCATCCCAGCTGGACCTCTCCAGCCTCTGCAGCCACAAACTGAAGTACCCCACCTCCCCACCCCATCCTGAAGTCACTGCCTCCTTTCCACCTGCCAGAATCCTGTTTTCCCTTCAACAGGCAGCTCAGGGTCACCCTTGGAAGTCTTCCCGAAATCCACTCTTTCCTCCCACCCCACCCCCAGCAAGCTGACCTTTCTTTGCCTTCTCAGATCTGCCCAGAGCCCTCCTGTCTACCTTGTAACACGTACATCTGTATATACAGCACATCCCCTCGACCCCCAAGTAGAATGTATGATTTTAGAGAGCAGGGCTGTAGCCCATTTTTCTTTGTATCACAGTGATCATGGTGTGTTACAGAAAAGAGTGCTTAATAAATACTTGAATTGAAATGATGATTGATACTGGATGAAAGGTACCCACTCCCATAAAAAGATAGGGGATATTGCCATTGTGGAAAGCATACGTGTTCCAGTATATTTCCAGTGCAGCAAGCAAAAATTGGTCCAATACATTTCCCATGAGACCTCAGCTTTCCAAGAGACAAATTTAATGATAGGGTACTAAGATTTTGAATTCTAGGATCCAAAAGATGTTGTCAAAGGAAAAAGTTGGGGAAGTGGGAAGTTTAGACATAGGAAACCACTAGAGTTCCAAGTCACAGACCAAAAATGGAGCTAAGGACTGATTATATGAGCATTTGGTGAGCTGAGTCAAGAGGCTGGGTTAGCAGATCCGTGGATACCTCAAAGGTATGTCTGTGGCACAAAGAGTCCATAGAGAGCTTCAGGTCAAGAACTACGAGCAATGCATCAAACACATCAAACGCATCAAGGCAATGAGGAAAGGACGCAGGATTTCCCCAGTTTGCACAGGGGAGCCTGGGGACTGGTTGCAGAATTGCCAGCCTCTCACTGCCCAAAGAGGATATTGGTACTATGTCATTGACTGGCATTGCATCACTGTTGTTTTACTTATTGACTTATTTGCTTAAAAATACTTTTAGTACCTTTTGGTTTTACGTCCCCATCATTTCAAGTTATCCCCTCCCTCCCCCTATACCAAACGAGCACTTCTTTGAACAAAGAAAAATATACTGGAAAGAAACAAGATATACACCAGTAAATGAACACAAAATGTATACAAAGTAACTTCAGTGAACAATACCAAGTGAGGGGAGCAGCCTCTTTGAGTACAGGGCTCTTGAACTGAGCTCAGCGTTTACAAAGAAACAGATAAGGAAGGACAGTTATTCCAGGCATAGGGGACATACGGGTGACGTCACAGAAGCTGCTACTTCAACCAGGTCACATCCACTAACCATTGGTGCCCCCCAAGGCTCTGTCTTGGACCCTCTTATCTTTCTTACTATTTTGCTTAGTCTCATCAGCTCAGATGATTCTCAGATCTTTTTGGCCAGCCCTAACCTCTTTCCTTGCCTCTAATCTCACATCTCCAACTGACTCATGGACATCTTAAACAGGATGTCCTATAGACATCCTAATGTCACCTGTCCAAAATTGGACTCATCTTTTGTCTAAAAGCTCCCCTTTTCCAAACTACGCCATTACTCTGAAGGATATCACCACCCTTCAGTCACCTAGCCTCAGAAGCCAGATGTTATCCTCAACTCCTCTCTCTCACAGATAGCTAATCAGTAGCCAAGTTCTGTTGTGACCACATCTGTAACATCTCTCATATATGTCCCCTTCTCTTCTCTGACATTGCCACCACCCTGGGCTAGACTCTCACCTTATGCCTGGGCTCTCACAATAGCTTTCTGGTTATTCTCCCTGCCTCTATCCTCTACTTGGCTGTCAAATTGATGGTCCTAATGCACAGGTCTGACCATGTCACCTCCCCATTCAGTGTTCTCCAGTGGCTCCCTGTTACCTGCACTATCAAATATAAAATCCTCTGGCTTTTAAAGCACTTGGTAACCAGGCCTTTTTCTGGTTTCCCAGTCTTCTTACATGTCGCTCCCCTCCACATGCTCAGATCCAAGGTCATAGGCCTCCTTGCTTTTCCTCCACCCCCTGATTCCAGGCATTTCTACGAGCTGTCCCCAACACCTAGAGTTCTCCCTTACCATCTTCACCTTCTGGCTTCTCTAGCTTCCCTCAAGTCTTAGCTAAAGTCCAACTTTCTACAAGAAGCATTAACTGATTTCATATATATATGTGTGAGCACATTATATGTATATGTATATCATGTGTGTATATTATATATATGCATATACAGATATATGTATATATATGTCAGTCTAGCATTTGAGGCCTTCATTATCTTGGTACTTCCTCTTTCTCCTTTACTGGATCCTCCTCTAGATCATGCGCCCTAACTGTAGGTGTCCCTCAGGGTTCTGTCCTGGGCCCTTTTCTCTTCTCCCTTTATACAACACTTTATCTCATCAGCTCTCCATCTTTATGCTGATGATTCTCAAATCTGCCTTTCCTGCCCCAACCTCTCTACTGACCTCCAGTCTCCCACCTGCAACTGCCTTTCAGACAACTCAAACTGGATATCTAATAGACATCTTAAACTCACTATGTCAAAAACAGAACCCATTACCTTTTCTCCTAAACTCTCCCCCCAGACCCACCTCCTATCTTTCCTGTTACTGTAAAGGGCAAAATCATCCTTCCAGACCCTCAGGCTCATGATCTAGGAGTCATCCTGTATTCCTTACTATCTCTTGCCCTCCATATACAAGACCTGTGGATTTCACCTTTGTAATATCTCTCAAATACATCCGCTTCTTTCCTCTGACACTGCCTCCACCCTGGTTCAAGCCCTCATTACCTCATGCCTGGGCTGTTGCAATAGCTTGCTGATGGGTCTGCCTGCCTCAAGTCTCTCCCCACTCCAGTCTATCCTCTATTCAGCAATCAAAGTGATTCTCCTAAAACACAAGTCTGATCATGTCATCCCCTCCTCAATAAACTCCAGTGGCTTCCTATTGCCTCCAGAAGCAAATACCAAATGCTCTGTTTGGCATTCTAAGCCCTTTATAACCTAGCCCTCTCCTACCTTTCCAGTCTTTTTACACCTTACTCCCTAACATGTACTCTTCAATTCAGTGACACTGGCTTCCTAGCTGTTTCATGGACAAAACCATCTTTTGACTCTGGGAATTTTCTGTGGCTGTCCCCTAAGCCTGGAATGCTCTTCCTTCTCCACTCCCAACTACTAATATCCCCAGCTTCCTTCAAGTCCCAGCTAAAATCCCACCTTCTACAGGAAGCCTTCCCTAATGCCTCTTCATTATAGTGCCTTCCTTCTCTTGATTATTTCCTATTTATCCTATATATAGCTTGCTTTGTGTATATCTGTTTGCATGTTGTCTCTCCTGTTAGATTGTAAGCTCCTTTAGGTCAGGGAATGTCTTTTACCTCTTTTTGTATTCCCAGTGCTTAGCGCAGCGCCTGACACATAGTGGGTGTGTAATAAATGTTTATTGAATTGAATTGAAAACTTCTTTCATTCCATCCTGCCATCTATGTGGCAGAATACCTTAGGGCTTGGTGCTGGGCTGTTTCCTCCCCATACTCTCTCTGTGACCTCATTAGCATGTCCGTGTTTAATTGTTATCCCTATACGGATGACTCTCAAACTTCTATGTGATGTTCTTCTTTCTCCTGAGCTCCATTTCAACACACCAACGGCTTCTTGCACATCTCCAAGTGGACGTCCCACACACAGAATTCATTATACTACCAACTACCCCTTCCCCCAAATCCACCCTTCTACCTTCTCTAGTTCTGCTGAGGGCACTGCCATATTTTCAGTGACATAAGCATTTTGCATTCTTCATCCTACCTCAGTTTCCACATCCAGTCAGCTGCTAACAGAGCCCTGTCCACATTCCTTCCTCTTCATTCTCATGGCTACTGCCTTAACTCAGGCCTGAGTCCCTTTTTGCCTGCACTGTTAGAATAGACTTCTAGTGAGCATTTTTGCAGTCGGATTCTCCTTTCTTGCCAATTCACCCTTCAAACAGCTACCAAATCAGCTTCCTCAAAGCTCAGGTCTGCTGCTCATGTCAGTTTCCTGTTCAAGATCTTCAGGAGATCTCTATTGCCTTGTAGAATAAAATACAAATATGACAGGCTGGCATTTAAGGCCTTCATTATCTTGTTCCTTCCAACCTTTTTCCAGACTTTGTCATTATACTCCCTCAAACACGCTGTGCTCTGACTACACTGACCTCCTGCTATTCAAGTTGTCGACAA